AGATACCGAACATGTCAAGATTTTAAAAAACTGCGACAAACTATGGAACCTAAAATTGCCCACTCGGGAATACCGCCAGGGGGGGTAATGGTCCTATATCAGAGATACGTCTTCCTTTGATGGTCTTCAGATGATCCATGAACCAGGCAGAGCAGCACACTGGGAGAGATCGTGCAGAAAAAAGCGGATGAATGAAAGGTCCTGCGGGTACGTCTCGTCTCCAAATGAAAGGCCCTGAAACCAACATTTGTGAGCAAGAAAGTTTTAGTTTTGTTTCTTGTTTTTTTAAAGAGGAGACTAAGTGTAAGGCCTCATGTACATTGCAGCTGATAAACGCACGTTTAGGAGCTTTTCTGCGTTTTTGTTCAGCAGCCCCTGAACTCTGACTAATGTTCTCCTATGTGTCCATGTACACCGTCATTTACAGGCAGTTGAGTTTACAGACGTTTTTTTTTTTTAACGCACCAAACTTGCGTTCAGGAGTAGATTTTATCAGCGTTCCAAATGCTAACCGCGTTTAGAAGCGATTTTTTTTAACTGTTCCATATCCAGATGCTGTCCGGAGCCTTTTTGCATCATCAAAAATGCATGCAACGCGTTTTCCATGTATTCAAATGGACCCGGTACACCAGCGCAGTCAGTTCCAGGTTTGGAGTGAAGGAAAAAATGTCAGAATGCGCCGCATTATGATGGGATCCATAGTGACTACAACCAGAAAAGACAGGTCATCTCCACACATACTGCTCTCTCTGCTTCTGCTCTCTCTATTCCTCTCAAAATGTCTGAAATAGTTTTTTACGGTTTTTCAGTACCTTCTGGGCATTCTGGAAGGTCTCCTGAGGTAATCCTAAAAAAAGCTTCTAAACGTAAACGCACATAAACGCGGTATGCAAACGCGGCTATAATGATGTTTTTTGACCTACGTTTTCCAGCAGTTTTATATCGTTCAGAAGAGTTTACAAAACATCCCGTGTACATGGAGCCTTACACAATAAAAGCTTCTTACCTTTCTGTTCTCAAACTACATGAGAGAGTACACTCTGCTGCACATGTGCGGTGAGAGAGAAGAGAGGGGCGCCGTACTAAGTGCAGCATTAGTAGTAGCAATTTATTGGCATAAAAGACAATTGGCAACTCACAAGAAGTATGAAAGGTTAAGGCATGTCACCCGTGATGTGGTCAATATAATCCGGAGAGCCGGTGGAGGACAGGGGGAGTCCAAGCGTCAGACTGGTGGGTGAAAACAGATATCCTGGAGTGGCCAGCCGCCGCAGGGAAACCAGCGTCAGCGTGGAACGCAATTGGCGCCGGGGCAGATGTGACGTCAACGTTGAAACATGATGACGTAAATGGGCGGTAACGCGTTTCAAAGCAGAGCTTCTTTCTCAGACCTCCGCTTCGAAACGCGTTACCGCCCATTTACGTCATCACGTTCCAATGCTGACGTCATGTCCGCCCCGGCGCCAATTGCGCTCTGAGGAAGAAGCTCCACTTCAAAACGCGATAACGTAAATGGGCGATAACGCGTTTCGAAGTGGAGCGGACGTGACGTTAACATTGGAACGTGACGACGTAAATGGGCAATGACGTCACGTCCGTCCGGCGCCAATTGCGTTCCACACAGGTTTCCCTGCGGCAGCCGGCCGCTCCAGGATATCCGTTCCAGCCACCAGTCTGACTCTTGTACTCCCCCTGTCCTCCACCGGCTCCCGGGATTATTTCGGACCACGTCCCGGGTGACATGTGTCTGCGTACGTACGTACGTACATGTGTCTGTGCGTGTGTATTTCTGTGTATGTACATGTATCTGTGTGTATGTGTGTCTGTACATGCCTGTGTGTGTATACATGTGTGTGTGTGTGTGTGTGTGTACATGTCTGTGTGTGTGTGTGTACGTGTGTGTACGTGTGTGTACGTGTGTGTACGTGTCTGTGTGTGTGTGTGTACAGGTGTGTACGTGTGTGTACGTGTGTGTACATGTCTGTGTGTGTGTGTGTGTGTGTGTACAGGTGTGTACGTGTGTGTACATGTCTGTGTGTGTGTGTGTGTGTACAGTTGTGTACGTGTGTGTACGTATGTGTACATGTCTGTGTGTGTGTGTGTGTACAGGTGTGTACGTGTGTGTACGTGTGTGTACATGTCTGTGTGTGTGTGTGTACAGGTGTGTCTGTGTTTGTTGGTGGCGAGTATCTCTAAGGCAAGGGCGGACTGACCATTTGGAAACTCGGGCACTGCCCGAGGGCCCGAGGTCAGTAGGGGGCCCCATGAGATGCCCCTGGTACCTTTTTCATAGGCTTTTTTGAGTTTGGGCAAGGACACAGGGGCCCCATGATCCCCTATTGCCCGGGGGCCCCATGAGTTGTCAGTCCGCCCCTGGTCTAAAGCCTGGCTAGTAGCTCAGGACTTGAAATTTTAAGCCCTGCTATAAAGCACACTCTACCTTCAGCTCACGGTCTTCTAGGTCTTCAGCTATTTCCCGGACCTGCTAAATAGAGAGCAAGCTCTGCAGCCAAAGCAAGCTCTGCATTGTATTACCAATGCAGAGCTTCACCCTCAAAGACCGCGAGCCCCTTAGCGGTCTTTGAGGGTGATGGACTTTTCTCCGCCAGACCAGGGGAGACAGAATGTCACTAAAACAGGATACGTCCACTTCCCACAGCAGTGCAGAGGAAACAGGAAGGAATTATTGACGGGCGGGAGAGGAGACAACCCGACGTCCAGGAGTCACAACCATCACTAAGGCATTCTTCGAGGAACACAACAAACCCGCAGGACGTCACTGGGACGCTAACAGGATTACAGCGCAGTACGGAGGATGAACGGGTTTCATGGCACAATATTCAGGAAAGCAGACATGACAAGTGAAACAAACCTATCGCCACCCGGGGAGATCACTTCACACAGACATTGGAGTCCAGCGATTAATGGTGGAAAGTGCCATTTTGCCTTTCAAACATGGCCAACAGTTCAAACACTCGCGGTCCGCTGCAATTTTATTTATTTATTTATTTTTTTTTTTTTTTGCACAATCAGCATTTTTTAAAAAAAAGAAAACTACTTAGAACCCCCAAAACATTATATATTTTCTGAAATCAGAGGCCCTGGAGAATAAAATGGTGGCTGTTGCAATTTTTATGTCACACAATATTTGAACAGTTGTTTATCAAATGCTAATTTGTAGGAGATAAAAGACATTAACCACTTCCCAACCGGACGTTGCATATAAACGGACGGACGGTGGCAGTGCAGGGTCGGGTGGCCGTTTATAAACGGCCTCCCCACACCCTACTTGTGCGCGCTCCCTGGGAGCGCGCAGCACCGCGATCCGGTGCCCGCTGTGTCCTCCGGACACAATGAAACACCAATCGTCGGACGGGACCTCTGTACGAGGTCCCGATCATGTGATCACTGATTGGCCAATCGGTGATCACATGCAAAGTAGTAAGCAAGATGTCACTTGTGACATCATCGCTTACTACATGTGAAATCTGTGAATGATCACAGAGGTCACATGGTACAAGGCTATTCACAACAGCCTTGTACCATGTGACAAGCTGTGACCAATCACAGCTCACTCAGTACTTCTCAATGAGTGCAAGAATGCAGACAGAGAGAAAGAGAAATGATTGCTTTTACATCCTTTATGGGTGTAAAAGCAGTGTGTGTAAAAAAAAAAAAAAAAATCTTCATCACCCCCCACAAGTAGTACAGTGTCACCATGGTGACACTGTACTGCTAGGGTGACAGTATGTAAAAAAAAAAAAAAAAATACTACAATAAAAAAATAAAATAAAAATGTAAAAAAAAATGTTTAAAAATGATAATTTTTGGTTATAAACTAATTTGGATTTTTTTTTTTACTAAAAAGATAACCGAATACATTTTGGCAAAGATTTATGATGAAATATTATTTGCAAAATTTTATTTAAAAAAAACACTTTTTTTCAAAATTTGTGGACTTTTTTATTTACATAGCAAAAAAAAAATAAAAATCTCAGCGGTGAATAAATACCACCAAAATAAAGCTTTATCTGTCTCAAAAAAATGGTAAAAAAAATTCATTTGGGTACAGTGTTGCATGACCGCGCAATTGTCATTCAAAGTGTGATAGCGCTGAAAGCTGAAAATTGCCCTGGACAGGAAGGGGGGGGGGACTGGAAGGGGGGAAAGTGTCCGGACTGGAAGGGGGGTGAAAGTGTCCGGAATGGAAGGGGGGTGAAAGTGTCCGGACAGGAAGGGGGGGGGGGAAAGTGTCCGGACAGGAAGGGGGGGGGAAAGTGTCCGGACAGGAAGGGGGGGGAAAGTGTCCGGACTGGAAGGGGGGGGGAAAGTGTCCGGACAGGAAGGGGGGGGGAAAGTGTCCGGAAGGGACTGGGGGGGGGGAAAGTGTCCGGACAGGAAGGGGGGGGGAAAGTGTCCGGACAGGAAGGGGGGGGGAAAAGTGTCCGGACAGGAAGGGGGGGGGGAAAGTGTCCGGACAGGAAGGGGGGGGGAAAGTGTCCGGACAGGAAGGGGGGGGGAAAGTGTCCGGACAGGAAGGGGGGGGGAAAGTGTCCGGACAGGAAGGGGGGGGGAAAGTGTCCGGACAGGAAGGGGGGGGGGGGGAAAGTGTCCGGACAGGAAGGGGGGGGGGGGAAGGGGGGGAAAGTGTCCGGACAGGAAGGGGGGGGGAAAGTGTCCGGACAGGAAGGGGGGGGGAAAGTGTCCGGACAGGAAGGGGGGGGGGAAGTGTCCGGACAGGAAGGGGGGGGGAAAGTGTCCGGACAGGAAGGGGGGGGGGGGGAAAGTGTCCGGACTGGAAGGGGGGGAAAGTGTCCGGACTGGAAGGGGGGGAAAGTGTCCGGACAGGAAGGGGGGGGGGAAAGTGTCCGGACTGGAAGGGGGGGGGGGAAAAGTGTCCGGACTGGGGGGGGGAAGGGGGGGAAAAAGTGTCCGGACTGGAAGGGGGGGAAAGTGTCCGGACTGGAAGGGGGGGGAAAGTGTCCGAAAGGGGGGGGAAGTGTCCGGACTGGAAGGGGGGGGGAAAGTGTCCGGACTGGAAGGGGGGGAAAGTGTCCGGACTGGAAAGGGGGGAAAGTGTCCGGACTGGAAGGGGGGGAAAGTGTCCGGACTGGAAGGGGGGGAAAGTGTCCGGACTGGAAGGGGGGGAAAGTGTCCCGGACTGGAAAGGGGGGAAAGTGTCCGGACTGGAAGGGGGGGAAAGTGTCCGGACTGGAAGGGGGGGGAAAGTGTCCGGACTGGAAGGGGGGGAAAGTGTCCGGACTGGAAGGGGGGGGAAGTGTCCGGACTGGAAGGGGGGAAGTGTCCGGACTGGAAGGGGGGGAAGTGTCCGGACTGGAAGGGGGGGAAAGTGTCCGGACTGGAAGGGGGGGTGTCCGGAAAGTGTCCGGACTGGAAGGGGGGGAAAGTGTCTGGACTGGAAGTGGTTAAAATGGATTTCATTGCACACAAAACACAAAATAACACACCCTAATATTAAAAGTTGTAAGTGTAGAACTGCACTTATATCTTATAAAAATTGATTTTGGGACTGTTGCCGATATCCAGAGTGCTAGCAGCTATTCTCAGCTTATTAATTCTACAATTCTAATATTCATATACTTCATCATTTATTTAGCGCTCGTGTAACCTCCCTAGCGGTCTGATTATGTCCATATTTCTGTGCTGAAAGCGGTACATTTTTTTGCATGGAAATATGTCTTTTTTTATTGTAGGCTGTAATTCTTAGGAATAACTCACTGAAATCTGTCCGAACAAGAGTCTAGTAAACATCCCGGGTAGGATGAAACTTGAAACACAAAATTATAAATTATAATATAATAATCATAAAAAATAATAATATAATAATAATACATTTAATTCAATAATATAATCAAACCAAAAACACTGAAATGTGAAATATAGCGCCAAGTTCGCACATCGCTGAGCTCAGTCGCAGAATCGTTTTCAGTGTCTGATGAGGAATTTCCCCCACCAATCATTATCACACAATTCTGCAAGTGGTTCTGATTTACTATCGCTGTTCTCTAGCCGGTCTAAAACCGCGTCTGACCTAAAGGGACGCTTTTTGGACGCTTTTTGGACGCTTCTCAGTTTCCAGGCAGAAAGAACAGTAAAAATGCAGGCAGGGTGCCGGACAAAGCACTCGGGACAAAATGTATGTGAAATGGTTTGATACAGGAATGTTATACTTTGTGATGGTAGTGTCTCGAGTGAATTTTTTTTTAAATTTTCAAATTTCCCGCCGGTTTTTAGCCCCCGTACGTCCCGACGCTCGCAGGGACCGGAACACGGATGACGGCATCGGCCGGAGGACATTGCCGGGGACGCTGCAGGAGGGACATCGCAGGAGCGAAGTACAAGGTAAGTGGAGAAGAGATCCCGGAGCGACGCTGCAGTGTATTCCCGAGTGTAGCTCAGGGTTACCGGTTGTGGTGCTGAAACTTTACCCCGAGCTACACGCGGGAATACCACCAGGGGGGGTGTTAAACATTATCTAGATACAAAACACCGGATTTTTTGATCCAAGTCCAAAGAGATGAGGCTTGTATCGAGTAAATAGATACCGAACATGTCAAGATTTAAAAAAACTGCGACAAACTATGGAACCTAAAATTGCCCATAAGTGGCCCCTTTCACATGGGCGACCCGATCAGGTTCACCTGTCGGTTTTTCTTTGGACTGGAGGAGCGGGGTGTAAACGGCCTTTACAGATCATCACTGCAGGGTAATTTGTGAATTATCACCCTAGAGTTATTGTTCTCGCTCCGACTTTACATTGATTCCTCACTTGTGTGGTGCAATTGCTGTTTACACGTGTGCCAGACCTACAAACGCATCTGCAAGCATGCGCAGGGGTGCTTTATTTAATTTTTATTCACTTTTGTCGCACAAGTACTGTTTATGGAGACATTAAGGGTCTTAGCAGACCCCCAGTGTCTCCCCCCTGCACTCCAATGTAGCTAACCAAGCACAGATCTTGCTTGGTTAGCTGCTTCCCTGACGGTAGCTACCAGAGAATGACACACGAAACCAGAAGTGATGAAAGTGTGGGGGTCTGCTAACACAGGTTATACTCACACACTTTCATCACTTCTGGTTTCATGTTTAATTCCCTGGTAGCTACAGCCAGGGAAGAAGCTAACCAAGCAAGATCTATGCTTGGTTAGCTACACTGGAGTGCAGGGGGAGACACGGGGTCTGCTAAAAACAGGTTATACTCACACACTTTCATCACTTCTGGTTTCAAGCTGTCATTCCCTGGTAGCTACAGCCAGGGAAGCAGCTAACCAAGCAAGATCTATGCTTGGTTAGCTACACTGGAGTGCAGGGGGAGACACGGGGTCTGCTAAAACAGGTTATACTCACACACTTTCATCACTTCTGGTTTCAAGCGGTCATTCCCTGGTAGCTACGCCAGGGAAGTAGCTAATCAGGAAAGATCTGGGCTTGGTTAGCTACATTGGAGTGCAGGGGGAGACACTGGGGATCTGCTAAGACAAGTTCTACTCACAGTGTCTCCCCCTGCACTCCAATATAGCTAACCAAGCATAGATCTTGCTTGGTTAGCTGCTTCCCTGACCAAGCATGGTAGCTACCAGAGAATGACACACGAAACCAGAAGTGATAAAAGTGTGGGGGTCTGCTAAGACAGGTTCTACTCACACACTTTCATCACTTCTGGTTTCAAGCTGTCATTCCCTGGTAGCTACAGCCAGGGAAGCAGCTAATCAGGAAAGATCTGTGCTTGGTTAGCTACATTGGAGTGCAGGGGAAGACACTGGGGATCTGCTAAGACAGGTTCTACTCACAGTGTCTCCCCCTGCACTCCAATGTAGATAACCAAGCATAGATCTTGCCTGATTAGCTGCGTCCCTGGATGTAGCTACCAGGAAATGACAGCTTGAAACCAGAAGTGATGAAAGTGTGTGAGTAGAACCTGTCTTAGCAGACCCCGTGTCTCCCCCTGCACTCCAATGTAGCTAACCAAGCACAGATCTTTTCCTGATTAGCTGCTTCCCAGGGATGTAGCTACCAGGGAATGACACATGAAACTAGAAGCAATGAAAGTGTGTGAGTAGAACCTGTCTTAGCACACCCCGTGTCTCCCCCCCTGCACTCCAATATAGCTAACCAAGCACAGATCTTTCCTGATTAGCTGCTTCCCTGGATGTAGCTACCAGGGAATGACACATGAAACTACAAAGTAATGAAAGTGTGTGAGTGGAACCTGTCTTAGCACACCCCGTGTCTCCCCCCCCCTGCACTCCAATGTAGCTAACCAAGCATAGATCTTGCTTGGTTAGCTGCTTCCCTGGCTGTAGCTACCAGGGAATGACAGCTTGAAACCAGAAGTGATGCAAGTGTGTGAGTATAACCTCTGCAGAGAACTGATCAATTAGACTGGCTGCTGCTAGCAAAGTCACAAATGTGTACCGTTTACATAGAAAGGACTGGCCATACATTATACAATTTTTATTGATATTTTTGGTTTAGATTTACCAAAACCCATATAATAGAAGGTCAAACCAAACAACACTTTCAATTGTATCCAATTAGGCAGGCTCTTGCCTACATAGTTGAAGGTAAACCTAAAGGAAATTGGGCAGAAATTGGACAGAAAATTGTATAGTGTATGGCCAGGCTTAGTCTGGCTGAAAAAGACAAAAGTCCATCCAGTTCAAATATAGGAAAAAATGTGCGAGTCCTGATGACATCATACGTACGAAACGCGTAGGGCAGGGCTTGCTAGTGCTTCCTCTGAGAAGGAATTGCTTTTTGCTGGGATTTAAAGTGCCATACACACGGTAAGTGCAATTTTAATTGTTTTTTTTTTGTACCTAATAAATACGATGTTACGCTATGGAAGTTTCCCTTTGATGTTTTTTAACGGGTGGTGGAGGAGTACTGTGGAGGTTCTGGAGGTGTTTTGTCGCAAATGATTGATCTAGAGGTGTTTCCACTATGGAGTCTGCCATCAGCGTATAGAGGTGTCAAGACCAACAGACGGCCAACTTTCCTGCAGGAGAGCGCTGCATCATCTCATGCGATATTTGACCTACCATTAACAGGGGGTCAGTTATCTGTGGTGAGTGGGGGGCTCTGTAGGGGGAGGCACTAATTGGAGCACTATGCACAGAGAAATTGCTATGGATAAAGAAGATTTACTACTGTATCACTTAATATTCACACTGGATGCAGATTTCTACTTTTTGGGGGTTTCACTTGGATACTTTCAATTAAATAATCTTTTGCGAACTTATTTGTTTACACAATTATTGGGACTGTTTTAATAGGATTTGTGAGAATCAAGGTTAGATCCCAGGATTCTCAACTTAAAAAGGTTGAAGGGGCTCAAGAGGGTTTACTTAAAATGGAGCTCCCCAAAAGGGGAAGTTCTGCTTTAGGACGGCCCTTCGGGGGGGGGGGGGGGGGGGTAACCCGCTCCCCCTTCCCGGGTTTATCATATCCCCCCCCATGTTTTATACGTGGAGTCAATCCCCTTATGTATTTTCATGGGATCTATCCCCCCTTTTGATTTTACTGGGTTATCCCCCTTATGTTTATACATGGTGATCTATCCCCCCTTTTGTATTATACATGGTGTTATCCCCCCTTTGTATTTTTAAAGGGATCATATCCCCCCCTTATGTTTATATGGGAGTCATTCCCCCCCTTGTATTTACTGGAGATCAATCCCCCCCATGTATTTACATGGAGATCTATCCCCCCCTTATGTTTTTAACATGGAGTCATATCCCCCCCCTTATGTATTTTACTGGAGACATATCCCCCCCTTATGTTTATACTGGAGTCAATTTCCCCTTTGTTTTTTACATGGAGATCATACCCCCCTTTGTATTATCATGGAGTCATACCCCCTTTTGTATTAAAATGGGTTTTATCCCCCCCTTATGTATTTACTGGAGATCATATCCCCCCTTATGTTTTTATCTGGAGTCATATCCCCCTTTTGTATTTCTGGAGTTTTATCCCCCCTTTTGTATTATCATGGAGACTATCCCCCTTTGTATTATTCATGGAGTATATCCCCTTAGTATTTTCATGGAGATATACCCCCCTTTTGTATTATCTGGAGATATATCCCCCCTTATGTATTTCTTTGGGGATCATATCCCCCCCTTTTATTATAATGGGTCTATCCCCCCCTTATTATTTACATGGAGATCTATCCCCCCTTTTGTTTATCTGGAGATCTAATCCCCCTTATGTATTTACATGGAGATTATCCCCCCTTTTGTATTTAAATGGAGATCATATCCCCCTTATGAATTATAAGGAGATATTCCCCCCTTTGTAATTTTCATGGGTCTATCCCCCCTTATGTATTATAATTT